TCGACGATTTTGATAGTCGACGTAATCGTGACTAGTCGACTAATCGTGGCAGCCCTACTTCCAAGGTTCGGTATCTTGTGCATTCAGAGATGCTCATCTGCATACGTTGGTTGTAACAAGCGGCCCCTTCCCATCTGCTCTAAGCAGTCTGGCCATTCTCCTCTGAGCTGTGACATCAACAAGGCATTTTTACCCAGACAGCCGGTCACCTTGACCATGTCTGGATGCCTAAATGCATTAAATCGCTGCAATGTGATTGGATTAGATTCGATATTTACATTAAGAAACAGTTTCAAAGGTAAACCTAATGAAGTGGCCATCAGTATGTATCACCACAAGAGCCTTAATTAGGGCTTCTGTTGAAGTTAGGGTATAAACACCTTAAATTAAAATGATGAAGAGGACGTGGTTCATCTGTTTTCTATTATGCTGGTGTCTGCAGTGCTGAACACCATTATGCATCGTATTGACTTTGTTTCTGCTTTAGCTCCTGTTAAGTCAGTGATTTACGTTTGTCATTCAGTAAGATTAGTTAAACTGCAGAGCAGACTCAGACCACAAATTATGTAAAATGTTTGACTAGAGAAGGATGGAAATACTATCAGTCATGTTTGATTTATTTCAATCCTCAGCTGCGTAGCCGTGAGTGTAAGTTTAGTTAGAAATGTCTGTTTAGAAATGTAGCATGGCTGCATGATGATAAAGGGAAGGGCATATGATGGAAACATTCTTTAGGAACACGTTACTCCATCCTCCTCCTCCTCCTTTGGAAACTTTTAGTAGTGAGGTTATAAACAATTAAACTGCCTGAAAACACAAAAACAACATTTTAAATTTCTGATAGTCAAGCTATTGCTTCTCGTTTGATGTGATATTACAGCCTAAAAGGTCTTAAAATTAAATATGACATTAGCCACAGCCACTAAATTGCCATTAGATACAAATATTTTGAACAGCTTTTACTGGAGGAGATGGGTGCTCTTTACTCTTAGCTTCAGTGCAAACATTAATAATAAATAAGTATCTAGACCATAATCTTTTACACTGGTAAATTTAGCTGTGCTGAAATAGCAGCATGGCTCTAAAGATGGTTAACGTCAGGAAGTCTGACATCTACTTGGGTTCACAAAAATGTTAACGAATCGTAATCGAAAGTGTTTGGCTGATTAGTTTTATTTACGTGCTGCTGTTATATAATGCACATGGGGTGAAGACTCTCATCTTTAACATGAGATAGGTTTAGAAATGACAGATCACACATTGAGCGTGGTTTTTACTTCCTAAATCCAAAAACTAAATATAGGAAAACGAAAAAAACCAAAAACTTTAAAAACACATCAACAGACAACAACTGGAAACAGCTTCAGGTGCCAGTCATTAGGCCTTTGGGCAGACATCATGTTAGTTATGATTATGGTCATTTTATGCACTTGGATGCGCTTTCGTCTCAAAGCAAGAAGGTTCCTCTCGCCCTGTGATTGCTGGGTTTGGCTCCAGGTCCACAGCAACCCTGAAACTGCATACATGGGTAAAAGTTGGATGGATGGATGACAGTTTTAGGCAACCCTGCTATCTGTCTATCCGCCTATGCTCTATTAACAAACAGCATGTTCCGTCTTTTCTTTAAAAGGCTTTCTGAAACCAACCAGGAGATGATCTGTTCTGTTTTCTCCATTGCAGGTCCACTTTCCAGATGTAGAGCGGGTGGAGTGGCTGAACAAGGTAACGAATCGAGCAGCTGCCTCTTGAATTTGCCTGCTTGAGTGAAGCCCTCCTCGTTTTTCATGCCTTGTAAAAACTGTGGGAAATGGGATGTCTGTTGCCATCTGCTAACTCTCCTCTTCTCGCTGTCTGTTGCCACACTGCAGCACATCTGACTTAACATGCAGGCCCATTCCTGCAACGCTGTGAAATGCATTAACCCTTGCGAATCCCATGATAGCAACCAGGATGTAAATTTGGAGTCACTCCCGAGTATACATTAAACTGAGCAAGCTGGAGATTTAAAACATTCATGTGTTAGTCTTTTTGCTTGATGTGCATGGGTTTGACAAATAGAACTAGACTTAAATAGAACTACACTTTGAATATTTTACTGTAAAGGATGTACCCCTCAATGTTTAAAGTCCTGGAGCAAATACATTTTTATATCCTTTTAGAATAATCATATAATGAATATTTTTCTTTGATTTGTTCCAAAACTCTTTGATTTCTCTCTTTCTGTATCCCCTTAGACTGTGAAACAGATGTGGCCCTACATCTGCCAGTTTGTGGAAAAACTGTTCCACGACGTGATCGAGCCGGCGGTGAAGGAGTCCAACGCCCACCTCAGCACCTTCTCCTTCACCAAGTTCGACATGGGAGACAAAGTGAGCATCTCGATGTGATAAAACAAGCTGCTAGCAGCAGGTGCCGTGGGTCAGCTGATGAGGGTGCGCCGTGGCTAGAACACGAACGTGCATGCATGTCGCTGACATATGCTCTCGTTGAATAAATAGTTTCCGTGCGGGGGTCTGCAGAGGGGTCGACCTTGTGCTAACCACGTGGGGGTTGGGAGGGGTGACGGAGTGGCCGTAATGCTTCCTTATATTATGTTGCAGCCGCTGAGGATCAACGGGGTCAAGGTTTACACGGAAAACGTGGATAAGCGACAGATCATTATGGACCTGCAGATCAGGTGAGCCAACCAGATCATTGTCTAAAAATGTTTATCGTCTAGCGTTCTCTCCTGCCATTATAGTTATAGACACTACTTGCTTGGCTCTTTTGTTAAAAATACAACACGAGAACAACTGTAGTATCTGTTTTCAATGCAGCTAAAGAAACTCACATTGCTTTCATGCAGAGGTCAGTATGTAAATAGCCTCTTTCCACTTAGGTCTGTGCAAGTTAATATCTTCTGCTTTGTGCACACGAGAATCCAGTGTAGGAATAGCATACACAGCAAACAGCATTAAATTCACATTTCCTGGAAAGGATTGGAACTTCAAAGGCCTGAATCAAAGTCTTAAAAAGTGATGGAACCCTGATAGAGGATTTTTACGAGACATACTTTTGCTTTTTATCACCCAGCTTTGTTGGCAACACTGAGATCGAAGTAGACATCAAACGCTACTACTGCAAAGCTGGCATCAAGAGCATCCAGGTGAGGAAATCCCTTTTTTTTTGTTTCATATCCTCATAGAGGTACTTTCCCTTGGTAAGAAATAAGGACTGCACACTGGAAACAGAAACACAGCAGGAAGCAATGCACAAAAATGCTGTTAACTCAAGTAAGAGGTGATCTTGTCAGGTCTAAGTGTTCAGTTTCACTAGACTGGTGAAGGTGAAGACAATCGGAAAAACAGCAGGTAAGACAGGAGGAAGGAAAACAGGGGAAATCAGAATACTATCAAATCAAAACAGGAAGTTTTCATGTCTCTGTGATTAACACAGATAACCCAACCAAAGAGACAAGGCAGAGAGGACAAAGGGAAACACTGGGGACACTAGATGCACAACAAAGAAATAATAAAAATGAAATAGAAACTAAAACTCATACAAATAACATACAGAAACCTAGAGCCATGACAGGTATATCTCCCAAAAGAAAAAAGCTGGTGAATTTACTGTGTGTCACCACCATTACCACAGTTTCTCCCCAGTTTCCAGTCATTCAGCTGTCAAGTAAATGTCCATGCTGTTGTTTTTATTATTACAGGATTAATAATCCTGCTTTTCTCATATATATATATCAACACCTATCAGGGGTTTCTGATGTTGAGAACTACTAGTGTTGTGCTGGAAAAAAGGAAAATGACTTATAATGGAAGCCGATTGTTTCTTATCAAAGTCCAGTAACAAAACAACGTAAATAAAGCAATCCAGAAAACTGCAGGCGCTACCACAAAGACAAGACATAATAAGAAACAATCAGCATACCAAACAAACTCAAGGAAAGATCAGTGGGAAAAAATGAAGCTATCACAAATCCCAACAAGAGAAACACAGATCATAATTCAAAGGAGACATTCTCAGACTTTGAACAGACAAATAGTGTTTTCAAAAGTTTTACTGTTTGTTCTGATTTGGTCACGAGGACCTTTATTTTTAAAAAGTGTCTCTTAAACAAAGTTTTAAACAAACTAAAACAGCTAAACCTTAATTATGTTGCTTTGGAAGATTGCCTTTGACTACACAGCCCAATTACTCTGAAGTATTTTGTGTCTGTGTGTTGTTGTTATTCTTGCTGCTCCTTTCTCCCCTTTGTGTATTGCTGTCGAGTAGCAGCAGGCAGAAAAAAGGCAATCTGTGCTTCTCCTTGGAGACCCAGTGCCGTCAGGTCTGTCCCTGGCCCTGTTATGAAACCCAGGCATACTGTATCTCTGTAGACTATAATCATCCACTAATACATTAGTCAACATTTGAGCTGGATTATATTACAAAAATTACAAAGGTGGGTTTGGCTTCATATTAAGCTTAGATGGGTTGGATTAAACTTTTTAACCACTGCTGCTTTACACTAATAGCCCATTAAACCTGCAAATAAATCATGTGTTGTATTAAATTGCAGTATTTTTTAGCAGGTCCATTATTTTAAATGTTCATATTTTGTTGTTTCCCCTGCCAGTCTCCTGGCAGCCTAGGTCACCATGCCTTTAAGCCATTATTATTCCTTTGGACAGTTTTGTCAATATTGCTATAAATACTCCAGAGTCCAGCAAGAAACTGCCACGGCTCTGTGTGAAATACACCACCACTTACTTTTGGTGTGATCTTTGCACAAGTTATTGCACCTAAATGAAGCTTAACTTTTTCTACCTGTTCTCTTTGACGTTCCAGGACTTGATTTTACCGTTCTGGCTTTGTGTAAGTTTTATGTTCTAAGGAGCTGATTCAATCTCACAGTTAACAGAGCGAGAGAGGAAATAGAGAAATACATTTAAGTCTAAAGAACTGCCAGCAAACACAAAAACAAGAGTACTATTGGTTTTTAGTTTCACAGGGGCTTTAGTCATTAGTATCGGATTTACTGGCGTGATTCACTTTCCATTCGGACAACATTTTCTGACTGTCATTCCTCCAAAAAAGGAATATAACTCCACAACAAATATACTGGCGCTAGAATTCAAACCTCCTTTGTTCCCATTCTGCAGGATTAGAGCAGCTGTGTGGTGTTCCACATGATACATCTAAAGCACTAGACCATAATCCCCATAATTGTCATAATATGTTTTGAAGAAGGTGGAGGATCACACAGGGCAGGTGTGAAGTCAGGCAGCGATAGAGTTTCCAACCTGTCATGCGCTAGAGCTCCAGCGGCACTGCTGCTGACGAATGTCAGGGGTCAGCAGGGTGTGAGTTCCCTGTAGCTTTCTGTTTGTGTTTGTGGATATCAACGTGTTGTTCCTCTTATGTTTCCATAGATCCACGGTGTGTTGAGAGTGGTGATGGAGCCGTTGCTGGGTGATATACCTCTCGTCGGAGCTCTGTCTTTGTTCTTCTTGAAGAAGCCAGTAAGTGCATAAGCTAATAATGTTGAACTGAGTAACTTTATCAGTCAGACTAACTTAACGGAGGAGCAGCTGAGGTTATAATGACACTGCAGTTTGATGAAATGCAGCATGAATAGAGTGGAGGCTGTTTAACCACAAAGCCAAGATGGCATCACAGTTCAGCACATTACTAATTCAGGGTTATACTCTCAATTGACATTCAGAAAGAATGACAACTTTGTGTTATTACATATAATAATACTACACTGGCCAAGGTTGGCATGATTATCCTGCTGTCCTGAATATTTAAAATGCTCCTCTGAGTATTTCACCGTTCTTCCTATGCCTAACATTTCACCTCATAAAGCATCTTGTTTTTGTGCTTTACTTATTCCCTTGCCTTTTAATGCAGATACAATGGACATAGATTAAAGCTAAAAAGGGTCATTTGAGTCAAAGTCACGACTGGATCACAGTAGGATGTGTTTCTTATTATTTGCAGCATTAATTTCCAGCGTAATTTCAGTCTCTTTTACTTCACTGTGCTTACCGTCGGACATTGTTTGTGCTCTTGCGGTGCAAGCAGTGTTCACATGATTTGCATTTACATTTCCAGTTGCTTACGCATCGATTATTTTCCAGTTGAGGCTCCATTATTCTCCTGGTTCAACCCCTAGTCAGAGCCACTGCTGCACAGCTTAAAAACGTTTGACCGATTTATATCAAATGCGAGGGCCCAGTGGAGCTGTAGCGGTGCTTTAAATAGCTGCAGATCAAGCCAGACCTACTTTGGCATATTTTTTTTTTTACCCCAGGCACTGAACTAAAGCTCAAGGTGGAGACATTACTGTTGGAGACTGAAGGAAGAAGCAGCTTCCACTCAGTAAATTCCCCACATGCAAAGATATCCACACATGCATTTAGGTGCTTTAGTCGTCTTTCAGCTCCTACACCAGCAACATCACATTGGGTTCCTGGAGGAAAAAGAAAAAGAATTAATAAAGCAAATTATTGACATTGACATATTAACATTGTGTTCTCTGGACTTCAAGTAAGTCATGTTCTTTTGCCCCTTTGTGTTATACAAGATCTGAGGCTGGGTGCCAAACATAACAGACACATTTCTAGACCATAAGAGGTCTTGGCCATGTCTGGACGGTGTGATTGCACTGATGCAACTCAGCACAGCCTAAATAAAAAGATGCACCACATTCTGCAGTGAGGCAGAAGATATTCATCTACTCCAACTCAGATGACAGTTTTATACTTTTATGTAATGAATGAACGATGAAGCAGTGAAGGATCTGACTGAATCGCAAACACTGTTATTATTGCTATGAATTCTTGTAAGTACTAATTAGTAGATGTGTGTGAGATGTTTGCACTACACACACAAAGACAAGCAATAGAGTTACATTGATTGAATGTGCTGGCAGATCCGATTTTCAGTCAGTTTATGCAGTGGTTTTCAAATGATGTGCCTTGAGCCAAATCCTGCTGCTCCGTGTGATTTTATATCTACAGTGTTATTATTTCACTCCATGAAAAGAACAGCTGGGATTTAAATATATGTATTATTGCACATTAGATAGCCCAGACACAAAGTGAGGAGGTAAATCTGGTCACTGATGAGAAAAAAACCCACACCAAACCAACTAAAAAAAAGCATCTACTAAGGAAAAAACTACTGAGAATACTACCTGTCTCATGGCTTGAGCTAGATCAGAGATGTCGGCGACCTTCAGCCGCTGACATTTGTTCAGCTTCTGGAGGAGTTAGCTAATGCCAAAATGCTGTCAAGCAAGCTAAAAAGGCACTTTGCAGAAACTTCTGTAAAAAAAATCTGAACCATAGGAGCCTAGCCTCGTCAAATATAAGAAAAGTTGATGCTGAGAAGATTAATTATAGGCTTAAAAAAATCAAGGCACACAGTGGTGGTGACAGGTGTTTTTTGACCTGTGAGTAACGATGCCATACTTCCTGTTTTATGTCAATCTTCAGAGTTTAGGCTGAGCTGAACATTACATGATTTTAGCTCTATATTGAGCATGCAGATAAAGTCCTTCTAGAAGCAATCAGCCATCTTGGTAACACCTTTGGTAGTGTCTAAGGAAAACAGGAGGGATCCATAAGTGTAATTCTGATGGTCACTGAGATGCAACAAATGCATGCGTAGACTTCATTGCAAAAAAAGGCAAACAGGTTGAGAAGCAGTTACTCACATAAATCTCTATTCAGGTGTCTTTGAGAGTCACTCTCTCTCTTATCATGTCTCCAGGACAGACATTAGAGGAGCACTTTTGGAAGCTTGAAAGTGTCATGATTAAACTTAAATTGGACTTACTGAGCAGATTTAGGGGATTTTCCAGAGGTTGCGAGGTGGCACAGGCAAAGCGCCAGAGTCCTTCCTGTGCAGGGCTCAGCGCATAAATGCAACAGAGCGTTGCTGGTGACGTCCCAGCCCAGAGAGGAGTAACGGTTCGAATAGACAGGTTTCCAAGGGAGATTCTAGGCAAGGATAGAGGCAGTGGCGAACAGGTGAGGAACTGTGGCACCAGTCCACCAATCCACCCAGATATACTCATTGTCTGTCTGCTTAATCCCAGAGGTGTGTGAAGAATAGCTGCATCAGAACAACTCGTCTTCAGGGTCGAGCAGTGATGCCAAACCCGAGCAGAGCAGCAGCTTCACCTGTAAATAGAGAAAAGGGGGCGGGCAACCAAACCCAGCCCATCCATCGAACCCTGATAAAAATTTTTTTTAAAAAAGCTGTAAAATCGAGTCCTGACATTGTCTGCAGTTGCTCTTTTACCACATGTAGCATATATAAGGAGAGGGTTTGCTTTAGATTGACTTTGCAAAATATATATTTGGTTTCAGCAAGGAGGTCCAGTTGGATATGGATGAGGATTAGGGCCACTGGGAAAAAAATGGGCATGTCTTTTTTTTCTTCCTTTACAGAATTCTGACTTTTTTCTCAATATTCTGAAATTCAAGTCAGAATTCAGTCTTTTTTTTCCAGAATTATTTTTTCTCAGAATTCTGGGATTAAAGTCAGAATTCTAATTTTTTTCTAAGATTTCTGACTTTTTTCTCAGAATTCTGAATTTCAAGTCAGAATTCTAATTTTTTTTCTCAGAATTATTTTTTCTCAGAGTTCTGACTTTTTTTTTAAGCAGAGTTCTGACTTTTTTCTCAGACCTGACCTAATCTCAGAATTGGGAGATTAATCTCAGAATTTTAATCTCAGAATTCTGGAAAAGAAGAAAAAAAAGACGTACCCACTTTTTTTTTTCGGTGGTCCTAATCCTCTTCCATAGCTGGATGATGCATGAGCATGCAGAACACATGACACCTGTTGAGGTTACCTGCTCTTGTCTTACATTGTCTCACATGGTTAAAATCTTTTTTTTTGTCCAATCCACAATGCTTCTATTTACTGTGTTTTCGCATACTGCTCTGCTGGGTAGTGTTAGAAGAGTTCAGGGTTGCACTGCGAGTGTAAGAGCAGCTCAAGAAAACTGGCTTATTCTGTGCAGTTTTCTCACTTTTCAATAGTCTTACACCCCAAAGGCATTAAAATGATAATGTACGAAGAGGAGGAAAACAGGAAATACTCCCACTTGAGAAGCTTTTCAAAGCAGATATTATTTTATCATTTAATCGTTTCACTTAGATTAAAGACAGTGCCCTTATCAACAGTTTTGTTATTCATATATACATCAACAGTCTCTTGATGACTCTTTAAACACAATATGCAGGGAGGGATAGGTGTGTCCTTCCACACCATCCCCTACATCATTTACAGCCCTGCAGTGCTTTCCTCGTCCCTGCAGAGCTCCGTGCATCTGCTGCAGTGTGAGCAGGTTGGACAAAAAAGTAGGGTGGGAAAGGCTCATTAGAAAAAAACATGTCCCTGAGCTTGGAGGAAAGAGCTGATCAAAGCCCACTGAGCGGAGCAGGATATGCCTCCGTCTCAGGTCTCTTTGATTTACTTTGACTGCGGCACCTCATCAAGATTTGACCTGCTGCTAGATTTTCACAGTGCACAAAACTGGAAGGTGCAGTGTTTCCAGCCTCATTATTCTGTAAACTAACAAGACCCCAGACAGATGCTGCTGCTTTAATAAATCTTTCAGGAAGCAGGTGCTTTTGTATTCATTCCCATTCAAGGATCACTGCTTTCTGTGCTTCCGTTGTGACTCATAAACTAATTGTGCACACAGTGCATGCATTTAAACACTTACAGGTCAGTGGACCCCAAATTGAAAACTAAAAGGTAAAAACAATTAGCTTTAATATATGACAGGAAATGTTTGTTTTATACTTTAAGTAGCAGTGTGACGCCATCCTAAATAACCAGTGCAGTGTTGCAGCATAATAGAGGAGCAGGAAACAATAACATCAAGTGTTCTGACTCCATTTAAAGTCATTCACACTTTCTATTCTTACCGTCTAACCCATGGCCACGCTCTCATTTTTACTTCCTTTTCAGCTTGTGGACATAAACTGGACCGGCCTCTCCAATATACTGGATATTCCTGGGCTCAAGTAAGTCAATTCAAACTTCAACTTTTCTTTTCCCTCAAGAAACAAAGCTTAGATTTTAAAGGATTTGAGGACTTCTAGTTTAAGTGAAGTTAACACGTGCCTAGATGTTTGCTGTATAATTTCAGGGTTTTGTTTTTCTCTTTTAAACACATTTTATGTTAAAAAAAAAAAGCTTAATTTTCAGAGTTTCATTCGCATTTAATTTATTAATATCTTCAGCATTGATGAAACCAAAAGTATTATGCATACAGTAGTATCTGTCTCCACTGTTATATTTAAAGACAATATTGTCTTATTGTCCAGTTTCTGGAAAGCTAAATCTCACCAGCTGTAGAGAAAGTATTTTCCACTAATGAGGTTTCCTTACGTGCACGAAGCCTCGGGTGTTCCTGTCCTCGTTACTGCTGTAGTTTATCGCAGAGTTTTGCTAGACTGAGCTGATTTAGATAAACATATCTCTTTCAAACATTTGGAAGCAAACAATGAGATCAAGTGAAACGATGCAGCATGTCTGTTTGCACACACATCACGAAAAACAGGATTAACACAACAGTTTAATGCTCGTACTGGGATAAAACAGGCCGGCTCAGTGGTGTTTGTCTCCGCCGTTTTCCTTATCCTCACCCGTTTTGTTTTGTTTGTATTAAGTGTCTTTTTCCCTCGAGTTGTTGTGTGGGCTGAGCAGAAAATAAATGAGAGCTGATTAAGAGCTGCTAACAGCCCGACGCAATTACACGCTGCCATCTTGAGTGGTACTTTTTTTTTTTTTACAGCTGAAAAAGAAGCTGACAGATGCAATATTGAATGTAGTTTTCTGGGATTTCAGCTGCCTGTTGAACGCCCCCCTGACGCTGACAGACATGTTGACACAGGCAGAGCTCAGTGGACTCTCTTCTGTTGAGTTCTCTGTGGGGGTGAAATGGATCCACAGAGCTTGTGTGCCTAGACGTGGGCGTGTTAGTCTGGGTGTTGATGTGGGTGAGGGGTTAGCTGGGTCTTCGTGGTCCAAATCACAGCTACAGCGCACGCAGCGTCAGCCGTCCACTTGAAGACTTGCCCAGTGGGCCTCTTTTAAACCTTGTTAATAATATTAAGACTGTCATTAATCATACTAGTAGCTGTGATAACATGTTGTTGTTTAGTGGAGTCAGTATTAACCATAATCAACTTCTTAATGTTTTGTATTAGCACAAAACAAAGCTGAGGCTAATGGAAATGTGATTAGCTTTGCTCCCTTCATCTGTACCCTCAAGTATAATTTAATACAACACAGTGCTAGCCTCATAAATTATGCTCCCAGTTAGAGGGGGGAAAAAGGATAACCTGGGATATCATTAACAGCAGGCATAACTGAGAGTTTACAGGTTGCTAGTGCAGTGATTCCCAAAGTGATACCCATAGATTTCTATAAGACTGGAAGTCTTTTTGTAACCACAAGTATTGCATCTGGTGGTGTTCAGATAGAATGGAGGTCTAAGGCATTTCCATGAGAGCTTCATTTTTCAAAGGTGGGTAATATTGTCCTTGTTTATTTTTGTTTTCTGACCTTATTTTTTGATCCTGAACTCATCTCATATCTCAACTTGTATTTGAAAGGAAATATTCAATTTGGTGCTCTTGCGATGCCAACGTTGTCATTAAAGGTTTCTCGGTCAGATCGTCCATTTTCAAAACACCAAGACAACTCGAGACAGTTTGAGACTTCACTGTGGGTTGTAATCAAACACAGTATCCATCCATCATTAATACACAGTCAGTTGTTTTGCGGTCACAGTATAGAGTAGTATAAACTTCTGGTGATCTCTGAAGTGATTTGCAGTTAACGTCTGTGACAATTACTGTGTCGATCTATCCAGTAGCTGCTGGCACATTACTCCAAATTTCAACCTCATTGTGGAGGGAAAGTCACTGATCATTAAAGTCATTAAAGTCTTACTCTGGGGACCATGAATATTTGTAGAGTCTAAAGTGCTAATCTCTTTAGAAGATGTGCTAATAATTTACTCGATCAGTGAAATCCTTTGCCAGCTAATTGAGCAAGAGAAAAAGGCAGGGAATCACTACAGTTGTTAGGATTCATTTCTTAGGGATCACAAATGCTTGTGTAGAATTTAATGGCAATCTGTTTAATGGTCATTTGCTTCTGCAATCAGCCAGAACAAAGTTAACATGGCTGAAGCATTGCTGTACATCGCAGTGATGGATATTTGCTGTCGATGTGAGTCAGTGGAAGGTAAAACACATTACCAGTGTGCATTATGTGAGCATTATAAGTGTTGAGTGTGCAGTCTTGAGTGTTGAGAGTGCTAAAGTGAATAGATAAACACAAAGGCAGGGACAGGGGGGTGTTCCAGTGTTTGCGCCGAGGGAGCAGCAGAAATGGTGCTGATGCGGCAGGAATCCCTTTACACCCTCAGCTCTTAGATGGAGAAAAGCTCCAGCTCTGATCAGCACCCTGCCACTGAATCCTAAAGTCAATGCATGTTTTTCACCTAAAGAGAAGCTGAGGATTGATCAAATGAATGAAAGCTAAAATTATGTTTTGTTTTTTCATCTGGTGTCTGTGCAGCTTTAGTATCACACCAGAGTTTTTTTTCCTTTGAAGGTTTTTATTGGTTTTGCAGGACAGCCTGAGATTCCTGACACATTACATGTATTCCTGCAAGGTTATAATGAATTACAGATATTTATAAATGAGCTTTAACTGTCCTCTAATGTAACCTGTTCATAACCTTCGCATTGTTAATTACATGACAATCCAGCAAACTTGGGTGCTCTTTTTACTCAAATGGCAAATAGCTCGTGACGATGTATAATTCTGAAACCTGAGTTGTGCGATATTTAGAAAGTAGTTTAATTTACTTCTTGGTGTTTGAATCTTTTGCTTAATCAATGTGCAGCCTATGGCAGATACAAAAAAGTAATTGAGCCCAGCGTTTGCTATGGATTTTGGGCTTTGTGCTGACCGATGTTTTCAGTTGATGGATCATTTGGCCTTTAGCCTGTGTTTGGTGATGCTTGTTAGGGTTAGGTGTGCTGTCACAGGAGTTAGGAGTTAGAGTGTTATAGAGGGGTTGTGAGTCTAATAATCATGGAAATTAAATTGTGTGGCACCTTTGAAAAGCAAGGAAAGGAGTTAACTTAGCTAATATAGAGCAATTCTTAATAATCATCAAAGCCTTTAGAAGAAGCAAAATGAAGAGCCTAAAAATGCATTAAATACAAATGTGGTTTTTCAGTACGTTAAGAAAACCATTTTTATTTTATTTTATAACTTTATGTTAATTATAAATTCATTTAACTAATGCCTTATTTATGTGGTATGACCACCTAGGCTGTTTGAGCAATAGGTTAAAGTTTTTAATTACATAAGAGAAAAGTAGGTGAATTAGCCTTAGCTAAGCCTTAGCCTTAGCTAGCCTTAGCCTAGCTTTCACCAGCTAGAATTGATCATTTATCCCCAGTGATAACTTTACATTATTTTCTTGATTGTTTCAAGATTGACTTTGTTTAAGTGGTAGAACTTACTTTAAATAAAATTTAATTAGTGCAGTACACCTAAATATTAAGTTACAATAAACAGGAAACGGATAATGCTGTGGCAAGCTAGCTATAGTTTGATAGCTTGTCACTGCAGTTTTTGGACTTTATGTTTCTGTTTGTCTAAAATTACACACACTATTAATTGTTAAAGATTACACATTTCTGTGTTGTTATTTCTATATGACAAAACAAAAGGTTAAACTTTGACTAAATATGGAGTTTACTGTAGTTTCTCCATGCAGTGATCACTGTAGCAAGTAGAGTTTTACTGTTAAAACTGAAATTTTATCACACAATAACATTTCATTGAAGACCTGAAAATATCTTGGGCCTAATTCAGTAAGACACCAATGATGCAAGTTTCCTAAATTTATAAGACCAATTACATAGAGGCTGTTACTCAGCTGCTGTACGTATTCACTGGTGGGCACCTAGAAAGCACAGAGCACAAGTACATCAGGTGTGTGTTAGCAAATGTCTAGTTTAAAAAAAATTCACCCACTTTTCATCAGCTTACATTTTTGTACTTTTCTTTCTTTGCAGACTATTTTAAAGATTGTGTTTATAGGTGTCCTCAGAAAACATCCACTTCCAGGTGATGTCTTAGACAATTTACAAATGCCCCTGATTACAATGGTCACATTATAATATATATGGACATCTGGCCCATAATAATAATAACCATTCTTCGAGGGACATGCTGAGCAATAACCCAGCATGATAAGTTTTATTGTAATTTGATTTTTTTTGCTAGCCATGATTGCAATTTTCCAGCTGTGCCACAGTAAGTAAATGAATAAAGGAAACGTCTGATGGAAATGTCATCCTGTGACCTCACTATCATTGTTGTCATTCACCACTGAATCATTAGTGGATCAGAGAGACATTCAGACGTTTGTTGGCTAACAGCAGCAGCATGCTTGAACTCACTCCAATTTTCCTGCTGTCGTCGCACATGTTAAACAGAAACATGCTAAACTATGCTTAGATTAAAAGAGAACATTTATAACCGAAGGGCACCCTTATTGTCTTTTAAATAATTTATCGCTTCATTCTGTTTATTTTCTTTTTTTTCCTCCCCTCTCTCATCATCCCCACCTCCCCCCTTGTATTTACAGTGGCTTCTCTGACAGTCTGATTCAAGACATTATCTGCAGTTATTTGGTATTGCCCAACCGAATCACTATCCCACTGGTTGGAACGGTGGAGCTGGCCAAGCTGCGCTTTCCAATGCCAAAGGTACAAATGCACTTGTTACAATACATCCAATAAGGATGAGCTGCTCTTCTAAGTGTTTTAATAGTTCGTAAGCAGACAGTTTCACACGAGGAGCTCATGGTTAGTACGTTAAAGCTCGTCAGTAGTAAAAAATATCTCCCAGGGTTTTGTAGTTAATTCTCAGTGCTAACGCAGAATAAAACTAAGGAACCATAACAATAAAAAATGCAGCAAAGGTTGTATTCCTGGAACTTGTATCCATGGCAACAAAATGAAAAAAGTTTCACTGCAGGCCACATCCTTATTATATTTAAAAAGGTTTCAAGGGTTCAAAACAGGAATAAAAAAGAAACAACTAAAATCTTACCACACATCATATATTCATTACAGCCTTTGGAAAAAAAGGAGACATTGAAAAGATAACAAAGAACTTGTCTTTCTGATATCAGAGGGCAGGATGTTTTGCCAACATACAGTACTGTGTGTCATATATACAGTACTGTGATAAACTCTGAGTCACCCCTCATTTCTTTATATTTTACTTCCAAGGAGCCAGTCTTGAGCAACAGGTCCTTCTACCTCCTTGGCTTTAATGGTCATCTTTATTTACTAGACTTTCATCTGGCAAGGAAGCATATGTGATGAAATGATTTCCATGATAACAATGTAGCCTTGTTATATCCACCATCACTTTTAGGTTAATAAGGCCTTGTATTTTAAAATAAAGACATTTAATATGTTAATCCATTAAAAACTCAGTAGGAAAATTAAAAGTAGATAATGTGCCGCACAATACTTAGGCAAGAAAATAAGAAAATAAACGCAGGTCTGATTTTATATATCAGTGGCAATTCTTACTGCTTTCTTTCAGGCAAATGTTTTTATTAAATATTAAAGAAAGGAAAAACATTTGACAATGGAAAAATTAAACAAAATAAAAGCCCTATTCTGCAGTAGAAAGTCCAGATTAGTCCTCTATTTATCCAGGTAATCATGGGATATATATATATATATATACACATACATATATGCTAATACATTCTAGGTATATGTATGTGTATGTAAGTAAAGGTTAGCTTATTAAATTTACATAAATTTGCATTTCTTTTTCTTAAATATTAAAGTAGCTGTTATGTTTTATTGTGGTGCGTTTTTTACAAACCACACATTTAAATAAAGTCTGCTAAATTATGAATTGTGAAATGAATTAGTATTTTTGTTATTACTTTATTATGGTAATAAGTCATGTTTCCTCTTATACTACTAATGTCCTCCTATTACAGAAATCTTCACGTCTTATCAACTCTATAAGCTTTTTCAGACCTTAACACGTGTCTGCATGGCTCCACAGGGAGTCCTAAGGATTCACTTCCTGGAGGCTCAAGATCTAGAAGGGAAGGATACATTTCTGGGAGGGTTGATCAAAGGCAAGTCTGACCCCTATGGTATCCTGCAGATCGGCAACCAGCTGTTTCAGAGCAAGACAATTAAGGAAAGCCTTAATCCCAAGTGGAACGAAGTGTACGAGGTGAGAGGGATGTCTTTTAGAGCAGGAAGGTCGTTTGTTGCCACTGAAAAAGCTAGTCTGTTTCCCATTGTTATGTGCCATTGTTTTCCACTTGTCTTATTTATACCTCCTGCTGGTTTGCATGACAGGTAATCTATTTATTGACCTCCTGTGCCAGTTTGAATGAGCTTCAGTTTGTTCTTGTGTTCATCAGGCACTGGTGTATGAGCACTCAGGTCAGCATCTTGAGATTGAGCTATTTGATGAGGATCCAGACCAAGATGACTTCCTGGGGAGGTGAGTGTCTTTGTCATTTTCTAACCCGCTGAGATGTTATTGCACTTATTTCATTTAAAACGAAGCTCTGGTGTACCAGCGCTGATAACTGGTAAGAGCAATCTTTGATGTATTGCGGGACATATAGTCAACAAAATTAAGATAAATACAGCTATGTTTACTCATAATGGAAGTGTAGAAGTGTTATCCCCAGTTACTGGCCCAAGGGCAAATTTCATTGATTTTTACCCCAAGGCTGTAATGCTACACCCAGTGCTATTAACACAAAGCAGTCAATCGATATCTGGAGCCCCTGTGTTTAGATTAATTGGTGCGATTTTACTGTTTGCTGTCCCAATTTCCATAATTATTTGTCCTTATTTACAGCCTCATGATTGATATGACAGAGCTGCACAAAGAACAGAAAGTTGATATGGTAAGCTGCTTTGTTCACAATAATATTATCAGTTTAATTACTTTAAAGCGTATACATTATACATCTTAAAGTAACCGTCGGGCTCAGTCATATTGCTTTCTTGTAAGGAGTAAGATGTGACAGGTAAACAGCTAACCAGACTTTAGCCATGAATGACACCCACCAGCAGCTCTAAAGTTCACTCGTTAACACTTTATATGTCGACTCACCTCTGCCAGCCTTAAACGAAGTTACTTTGGTGACACATAATCCCTGTAAAAACTGGGATTATTGGAGAGTACGCCTGCTTAGTTTCAGTTGGTGAGCACAGCAACTTTGCTTGTTTGAGTTTATTTTGTTAGTTTTACTTCAGCTTTTATTAAGTTGAGTTTTAGTTTTTAGTTTTTTAATCACTATGGTATGGTAGCCATATGTCAGAGGCAGAACTTTTTGAAAGCAGTTGACTCACAGTCTTGTAGACATCTGGAGTCTGATGAGTAAAAACGTCCATCAAAGCCTAATCAGGCAATTTCTGATAAAGTTTTACTAAAGTAACAAATATTAAAACTTCCACTATATTTTTTTTTAACTTCCATTAGTTGCTTTTCAAAGTTCACAAAAGTGTTTCAGTTATTTTTTACCAAGAGTCTAGTTTCTATTTTTATTGTAGTACTTAAATGTTTCATTTTCACTTCTAGTTTTACTTTTTTGTTTATTTTTAGCTAACTATAATAACACTGGATATGTTGACTGATATATAGTAATGATAGAAATGATTAGGTAATTATGAGTTTGTTACCTTTGGATTTAAGGTGTTTGAGAGTCCATGCAGATTTGAGATAGGCACTGATCTGATCATCTAAATCTGTCATCGAATGAATGGAAATATTGACGTACTTGTTTGGCCACATTGTTGCAGTGGTTTGATCTTGAAGAAGCAACTACTGGGAAACTCCACCTGAAACTGGAGTGGCTATCGCTGCTCTCCACTTCTGAGAAATTGGACCAGGTACTGCGTGTAACAATAAGGCTTCATCGCTTTAACACAAGGACGTGTTCTCTGCATTTGCAGCTGTAAAACATGTCTAACTTGTCCTTCATGTTTAGGTTCTGCAAAGCGTGCGCGCAGACAGAAGCCTTGCCAACGACGGACTGTCATCAGCGCTGCTGGTGGTCTATCTGGACTCGGCAAAGAACCTGCCAGTAAGATGATGCAATGCTCACTTTAGTTTGACGCTGTAGCTTGTGCAAAAATATAGCTTTAGGCTTACACAGGCTTCTTGTTCTCTACCCAAAACAGTAAAGATTAGTGGTCTGTGTAGTAAAGATTCACATACTTTTACTTTTTTTTTTTTTTTTTTTGTGACTGAAGTGATTACATTACCAGACACTTTATTGGGTACACTTGTTTAACTAATTTATATCAGCCAATCACATGGCAGCAGGTCAGTGTATATAGGCAAGTGCACATGGTCAAGTTGACCTTGTCAATTCAAACTGAGCATCAGAATGGGGAAGAAAGATGCTAGGCAGGGTTGTCTGAGTATTTCAGAATGTGCTGATTTACTGGGATTTTCCCACACAGCCGTCTCCTGGGTTTGCAGAGAATGGTCTGAAAAAGAGAAAATATCCAGTGAGCTGCAGTTCTCTGGGTGAAAATCCCTAGTTGATGCCAAAGGTCAGATGAGAATGACCAGACTGCTTAAAACTGGTAGGAAGGTAATAATAACTCAAATAACCACTTGTTACAACCAAGGTGTTCAGAACAGCATCTCCGAATGCACTGAGTGCCACTCCTGTGACCTAAAAAAAGGAAACCAAGATTTTCTTGACACACTTTGGGTTCCTTAGTACCAAGTGAGCATCATTTAAACTCCACAGCCTACCTGAGTATTGTTGCTGACTATGTCCATCTCTTTATGACCATAGCGTACCCATCTTCAGATGGCTGCTTCCTAGATGATAACACACCATGTCACAAAGCTCGGATCATCTCAAACTGGTTCCTTGAAAATGACAATGAGTTAACTATACTCAAATGGTCTCCACAGTCACCAGATATCAGTCCAATAGAGCACCTTTTTTTGTGTAGTGGAACAGAAGATTTCCATGATCGGTGTTCAGTCAGCCGGTCTTCAGCGATTGTGTGATAATATCATGTCAGTATTTACCAAAAATCAGAGGACTGTTTCCATCAATTAACGCTTTCCTGAAGCCAAAATGAGGTCTAACTTGGTACTCACAAGGTATACCTAATAAAGTGTCGGTAAAGCTCAAGGATTCTGTGTTAGGGCTATATTGGGCAATATTGTTTTGCTTTTGTTAGAGGATAAACTTGAACCTTCAAATTGCTGACTAAATGCATTTTTGACGTTTATGTAATGAGATTAGAAAATGTTTTATAATACCCAAATTGGTCAAATTGACCTCTTGTCTGATATTAGTTTGTTTGTTTTTTTTACCTTTATTATATAAATACTTTAGCTCTTTCAGTTCTCATAACTTCCCCGTTTCCTCTTAATTTTCTTTCCTCTTCACCCAAGAGCGTCTTCTCAGGCAGCTTAGGCTGTGGAAACTTAAGTGAGAGGAGAGCTTCTGGCCTAGTCTTTTGTGAGAGCAATACTTCAGAGTATAAAACAATATGTGTGAGTTCCCCGGTACTTTTCCATCTTTATAGTGCTAGTAGTAGCGGTATGCAATGTTGGGTTGGGTTGAGCCCGTGCAAACATGAATCTTAAAGCATGCGTTAGCTGCATGGTTGTGAAGGAATGTTTACTGAAAAATAACCAGTAACATGAGGCAGACACTTCACTTCAAGGACTCAGCTATACTGTTCCTGCTAGTTAGCCTGCAGCATATTCTTCTTAATCAGTTGCTCAGTTCAAGGCCCAAGTATAAAATGTCAGGAGTAGAAAGAGCTCGCTGGCAGAGCTCATAATGATGTTTCACATTAGTGTATAGCTGTACAGATACAGAAAGTCTGTAGCTTGTTAAAAAAAGATCCAGCACCTTTAAGTCTCCCCTATAGGGAACATCCTCATTATTTTGACATATGTTTTCATTGTTAGCTGTATGCCCTGCTCCAATATCAGCCCAATATCTGCTGCGTCTGATTTATCTAACAGTTATCCATGCTATTCATATTTCAGCACAAATTTCAACACGTTTTTTGTGGGCCTTTCCCCCCCCCTCATGTCTCTTACCCATGCCGAGTCATTCCCGTCCTACTAACTGTGGGTGTGATTTTCTCCCCCAAATCTCCTTGTGGCTTAAAGAGCAACCTGTCAGATTTCACCTATGACGGGTTGAAGCAAGTCTCAGTCTTTAAGGCGCTGAAGGTAATGTGGGAAAAATGGACTGCATGTACAGAACGTACACCCTGTGTCTCACCTGTGCCGGTCCTCAAGTGCACCATCCAGTCATGTGATCGTGATGGCTATCAGACGTGCAAAGTGAACTGTGGTTTTTGAAAAAATGTGCATGAAGATGGATGATCGCACTGACTGTCTGAGCCTTTGTTGTGCCGTCCTGAATTGTTGTCATATTTTCCCTACTTTTGCATGCAGAAGTACAATATTGGTTTCAGGTTTTTCTAAAGTGAAATGATGGGTCACTTGATTGCTTTAAAAAGGCAGTTAACAATGGCACATCTATAGAACAATTCAGTTCTGAGAACACCTTTTGTGCCTTTGTGTTGAAGAACCCGATCATGTTAAAGCTCAGGAATTCAGGATAAGGACTTGATGCTTGTTGGGCCAGCTTTTCCACATTTCTTCTTCTGTAGCTCATATTTGCCAGACAAATACACAGATAAAGTAGACACTAGGTAGTGACACAGATTAGTCTAAGTAAATGTTATGTGAATGCAGCTGTGAGGAGACTGGTAGAAGTAGAAACCGGCTTTCATTATCTTGTTTACCAGTGATCAGAACAGATGATCTAGTGTGTTACAAAAGATACGTTTCAGGTTGCACCATTCCAAAAATCAGTGTTGCATAATTCTAGTTAGCACGAGTCGTTTCCTTTTATTTACCTTCCTACTTCTGGGAAGTTTAAAGCCTCCTATTGTATCGCACTGACTGTGACACTCCCTTTGTTTGATATGAGCCAGTGAAACTCACTGAAGGATTGTGCTGGAGGGCAGCAGGAGTACAAATGTTTTGTTGTTGCACTCAGTCGTTCAGTCTGTGTCACCGTGGCAGCAGGGCCGGCTGCTAGCTGGATGGTAGACTGAGCTGCTGCATCTTATTTTCTTATTAATGAATTTCAAACCACTGTGAGTCTGACACCATTTTACGTGTTGTTTCCTTCAGCCTGTCCATGCTGAGATAAAAATCTATTCAAGTGAAATTGTTTTTGTGGGTGCGTTACCCATATAGTGACTTATAGCTTAAAGCATTGGAAGCTGTGGGATTTTTTTTTTTTGAAAACTGCCAAACACACATAGCTTCACCAGCCAGTCCGGACAGCAAGATTGCTGAAAAATAGAGCTAATACACCATGCTGCCTCTGTGTAGTAGGTCATGTGTTAAATCTTAATGGGCACGTCTTCACATGTTTGTAATGCATGCAGAAAACAGGAGGAAAGAGCAGCAAGTGCCAAAAATGTCTGCACTATTTTCACATGTGTGTTTAAGACAAACAAGAAAAGGGGCAACTGTTCTAGGACACATTTCATACCTGACTTATTTACATTTGCACTTCAGTGAGAGTCTGAGGCCCCGGGTTATGCTCCCTTGTGATCGTGGACAGCTGAGGACACCAGGGATACTTAGCTGTTTTTATTATACTACTTTCTTGACTGCTCAGAGAACATATGCACAGTTGGTGCCCTTGCAGTGTAGAGTCTGTGCGGACGGGTCCTAAAAAAATAGTGGGTATAGTTTTATCTGCACACTGTGATTATAAAATCTATGAGATGAAGACCTTTATGTCCTCATGTGTGCATGAAGTATAGCATGAGTGTAATGGGACTCCCTAATGCACAAACCCCGTGCTGATTGGCTCATATGTTTCATATTATTTTAAAAAAAAGATTTTATTTTATTCTTAGTTATTATTTAATTTGAAAAAAAATGTAGAAACATATATATGATTTGGTTATAAGTTAATATGTATCATTGTAGGCTGTAAAAGTTTTTATAATAGACAGAATGTAAAATCTCTTACTGTTTCTGTTAGTGCATAATAGAATCACTATGAGCATCGTGTCACAGTCTGAAAATGATACACACAAAATTCTGATTCTCATTTATTAATAACAGAGCAATAATAAACAGCAAAACAAAAATACTTCATACAAAATCAAACAATGCATGTCAGGCATTGCTGCATCTTCCACTGTCTGATACCGCATCAGTCACAGGAAACTGTTTCCTCCTCCGATAACGTCAAAAAAGGAAACAGAATCAGTCAGTTATAACTGAAAAGATGCAAACTGTAATCCAGCAGAGGAGAAGAGATTTTCTCTAATCACACATTTAAACTCATGCGTGATGAAGGAAAAACAAATGAAAATGGATATAGAGGAACAGCAGAGGTTCTACCTTCACAGAAAGAATTTATTTTGTTCACAGTTCACTTTATACATAGAAGACAGAATCTCTACTATACAGATAAAAGTACTAGGGTGCCTACACTTTACACCAAGAGGAGCTGCTTGATCATAGAAACCCATGAAATGAAGCTCCCGGCATACAGTTTATATGCTGATATTAATGCCAGAGGACGATTTGGACTCTTATAGAGCCAGCAGAGCATTTGCAACGATCCTCCTCAGCAGTCAGAGACCCTGCTCTGTAACTTTACATGCTCATTTTATGACTGGCTGACTTGCTGTGATTCCTAAAAACTTCCACTTTGCACAATACCCCTACAGAGTTGATCTGAGGAAGGAAAATTGTTGCAGTGGTGGCATGTTGTTACAGCACCACCCTTGAACTAAGCGAGCTCTGTAGAATGACTCGTTCTTTCACAAACGCTTGTAAAGATAGACTGCATGCTTGATTTTAATCACCTGTGGCTCTGGGGACTAAAAACACCTGAATACAAAGTTTAGGAGGCGTGTCCCAATTCTTTTGGACATGTAGTTTAAACAAGTTAAAAACAGATATTGTATGAATTATGTAAAAACTTGTGAAAGTATTTCTGTGTATTTCTGTTCAATACGTGGTGCGTTAAAGTGTCTTTATTATCAGCCTGCATGTTCAATGGGAGGCTTAATTGTAATGCTGGTGAGAAACATTTGTCAAACTCAAGCGGCATCCTCAAGAGAATGGATTAGATGATGAGAAAATAAAGGCTTTTCCTCTGTTGTCACAGACCTTGGCCTGTAGATATGTAGGGTATTATTATTCTGAGAGGAATACTGAATAATACGTAGCTGTCAAAGCCCAGCATGCTAAATTTAGCCCGCAGAGGAGACAAAGCTCGGCTGTCTCTTTGGTTGCCGCTCTGCCTGCAGCCCTGCTTGTCAGAATGTACGGTAATGCTCCTTCCTGTTTGAACTACAGGCTCTCTCACCGTTGTGTGCTTGGTTGAGTCTCCACTTAAGCTGCTGTTTGAATGTTTGAGTGCAATTATGTTGTCCCTCAGTTGATTTTTGTGCCACAGTGGGGTACATGGCGCTAACACTCTTCTGTCTGATTCTCTATTAGTCTGCTAAGAAGAATACCAGCGACCCCAGCCCTTATGTTCATTTCAGAGTTGGACATAAAACTCTTGAAAGTAAGGTGAGTCATGGAAGTATCCATTAAAGTTATTATGCTGTGTCATTGTATCGTAGCTCTGTATTCCTGGAATGTTGTGTCGATTATTTTATTTTTTTTTGCAATTGTGCATTTTATTCGTAGAATAATGTGTCACTTAGTAAGTCATAAAAAAGACTTCTGGGCAATCAAGCTGTTATATGTAATTACATATAACTATTTGAGGCGTTCTTTTAGCGATATACTTCCTTCTGACTGTAGCATTAAAAAAGAGATGAAATGAAATTGTTGTTGTAAAATAAAGAACGTTAAATGAGGAATTGCTACCACCAACACCCAGTTAACTGCACAGCTTAAGAGCTTTCAGTCTGACACGATGATTGGCTGTTTCTCACGGGAAATTTCTATCCTAGCATTCAGAAGGGAAATGTAAACGAGGAAGATCTGCTGGACTGATTTTATTGCAGGCGTGAGCTGTTGGAGGTTTACTGCGATGGAGCCTGTTTGCACTTATGAAAGTGTTTGAGTATGAACACAGTCCTGCGTTCATATTCAAACTGGCTCTGTGCTCCAGGACTTTGGATTTAAAATGAAGCAATGAAACCATGAGCCCATCCTCAGCTTCAGTATGAGGCTGCAGGAGTGACTGCTGTTTCACTTTTTGAGAGGAAGTAATTGGATGAGAGCTGTTAAATTACTCATTAGACCCTAATTTAGACAGAGGTGAGAAAAATTTAATCAAATTCAAAAGTTTGTCATTACATTTGGGATGAAACCGGGACACCCGAGTTATTGCTTTTGTGTAAAACGAACCCCGTGGCACTGTGTAATCTTAATTTTAACTCTGTGATTGCATGATTGTTGACACATGATTCATAAAGAAACTCAGCCACATTTTTAGATTCACAAACTTCCAGTCCAAGCCAAAGAAGTGTTTGTTGGATTTGCACTTTTAGATCTCTTTATCAGATCATCTTACATCTTCAGCTTATGTCACATGACTGATACAGTATAGTGGTAACGTTGGTGGTTTAGCCATAAAAATAATCTCTCCTCACTTAGTGTGAGGAGTTTGGTTGTCTGGGGTTAAATGCATGTAAAACTGAATAATCAGGCTTTTTAGAAACCTCAAGGTGTAAATCAAGTACTGTTAGGGGTTTAAAAGAAGATGCAGAACTGCTGGAGTGGAGAGTAGAAGACCAAGCAGAGGATAAATGTTATATGAGACATAAGATCAGATTTGTCATTGTATTAACAACCAGCAAATGGCTACTTATCTGCCCATAAAGATCCGGTACAAGACTAAGGAGCCCCTGTGGGAAGACTGTTTTTCATTCCTGGTCCATAACCCGAGGAGGCAGGAGCTCGAGGTGGAGGTAACTCTTCAAAATGTCACGGACAACATCTGTTTTCTTTATAAGATCGTACGCTGACGCAGATTAAGTAACTGACATTTCTAAAAGGAGATCTTTGCTTTTTGCACAGGTAAAAGACGACAAGAACAAATGCACTCTGGGTAACTTGACGGTGCCTTTGAGTAGCCTGCTGGTGGAGAAGGACATGACGCTGAATCAGCGTTTTCCCCTCAAGAATTCTGGGCCCAGCTCCACCATCAAACTTAAGATGGCTCTGAGGGTAAAAACAGGCTGCATCTCTTCTCTGCATCTGCGTTGAGGATGGATGGGTTATTCATTTCAGGCTTAGGAGACCAGAACAGATGTTCACAATCTGTTAATTCAAATAGAACTGACTGATACAGTATGTCTAAATTAAAGATACAGCACACTGAGTATGTAATAAATTGAAAAAGCTTACAATAGTGATAGATTTACCTCTATAAACATTTCATTTCTAGTCCACAACCAGCTGAAGTAACGGCTTGGTTCATTCCATAGGAAGTCAGTCAAATCTGAGAAAAGCTCCCAGCTGAATCCAAACACTGGGCACTTTAAAGGCCCGGCAATTTTTATAGTGTTAATATAAAGTTATTTTTAAGTGGTGCTCACTGATTTTTCATGGAGTAATCCTCACCTTCCCTGGCAGATTTAATCAGTTGGAGCTGGTTAGTTAGCCAATTAATCCAGCCATGTCATGAGGTTGGTTGAAAACGTTTTATCTGACACATTTTAGACTAAGCAGAGAAACATTAGCAGCAAAGGTTTGGTTAATAATCATCAGATTTTAAAAAAATAAAAAGAGAAAAAATCAGACCCTAACCTAACCTCTGCGGCTCCTCTGAGTATTTATATTTAACGCAGTATATTGTAATGCCGGGCTTTTTGGGACGAAGACTAATGTTTTTCAGCAACACTGTCTTTACTGCAGTTGCTGGAGTGTACTTAACTCCCAGTTAAGAGCAGAACAGAGCCGCCTCACTGCCCTGAAAGCCCGACTTTCACAAAGTGTGGAAACACAAAACAGTGCAGGTTCTAACTTATGAATGATGCAGTAAAAGACAGTCAGGTTGGGCTTGCAAATTGATTTTTACTGAAGTGGCAACCTGGAGACTGTAGTTAGTTAATCTAGTTAACAATGTGCCCCTGGCTAGCTTCAACTGTAAATAAATAAAACTGTAAATGGATTTGCTGATAGCATGTCATGTTTGAGAAGATAAACTGTTTAATCTGTTTGCAGTACATTACAATATATCTTATATAGTGTGAATTTTGGGAATATTCTGATTATATTTTTTTTCCTGTGATAATGATTATCATAATAATTCAGGAAAGAGAGCGGTCCTGCATACTCTGAAGCCTGTTAGGATATTTGCTATTGATTACTACTGTCAGTGTAGCAGTTACTGGTTAGTAGTTTGCAACTCTCCCTACAGGGAACAAAGTAACCCGGCTCATTAATTCAGTTCAGCAGCAGACTTTGAAGTTTGAGAGTCGATACATATATGAAAATGACTCGGCTCTGTAACATGTTCCACATGTCTGCAGGTTCTATCTTATGAATGATGCAGTAAAAGACAGTCAGGTTGGGCTTGATCTTTTCACACAGGTGTGTGTCTTTATCAGCCCATCAGTTGCAAAGCCAACAAGTCGCGTGCGTAACATTCCTTCAGAATGGGGCAGATCCAGGATGACGCAGAAACAGCCCTGGTGTTTAAGTGCAGCTCAACAAGTTTAACCTCCTAAGACCCGAACTCTTCCACGGCATGCATTTTTGATTTCTCCATGATATCTGGGCTGATTGGGACCCAATGAATGAGAGCAAAATTGAGTATTTTGGTCTAAATAACCCAAAATGTGATGCCCACTTACAGTACATGGACTGCAGGTCCTAAGACGTTAAATAAGAAGCTGCAGGATTCACATTTATAGGGAACTGTGATGTCAGCGTGTTTGACACTCTGGAGGAATATTTCCAGGATTCATTTGTGAGTCTTCTGTAAAATCTGAGACTCTGACATTGATTTATTTCTCTTTTATTTAGTTAACAGCATTTTTCACTCTGAAACTGTGGGGCTTAGTGGCTTAATGAAAATTGGAACAGGCGTAGCGTCATCTCTGCTGTCACGGCATCTCGGCGGTGAAAATTAAAGTCAGATTCTGATTTGATTGCCGTTTGTGCTGTAGACGTTTTCGAGGTGCACCACTAAAATTATATCTCTTTGCCTGAGGCACTAAATCCAGTGATTTGACAGGTAGTCTTTGGTGGTTTGCCTCATTGCCATCCATAGCGTAGTTCAGCCTTAACTAAAGCCATTACTTACTGCTAATGAGGATATTTTCTCCTGTTCCCACCTGGAAACACAGGAAGCTATAACAAACAAACTGCATTGCCCTTCTTGAGACCAAAATGAAGCGTATTATACTGAATGACTGTGATCCAATTAAAAAAAGGAATGCAGCTACATTAAAATATTGACCTGCTCTAAAACAGTTTCTCCATATTGAAGCACAACCAACATACTTTTAGAAGAGAAATTACTTTGCAGACTCTTAAAAAAAACATAATAAAATTGAAGAAAAAAACAGTTTAGAAAGGTTTGCTAAATTTAGAGACTTTTCACGTGAAATGACAGCACTTACATTAGCTTTAACTTCTTATTTTCTATTGTCAATCAACTAAACATCTTCATGTCTTTGTCTAGATCCTGTCCTTGGAGAAGCAAGTGTCCCCAGACCAGCCTTCTTCAGTCCAGGTCAACAAGTCCGGCGTGCCACAGGCACCCCCAGCCTCGTCCCTGAGACAATCAGCCTCAGATTCGCCGCTGCCTCCGCCCACGCATTCGCATCCTATAGAAGCTTCCACTCTCAACCTCAAGGACAGGGACGGCGAGCCGTACGGAGCCAGCCATCGCTACAGTACCACCAACCTGACCACCGCCATGTCAAGCTCCCAGAAACACCTGCCCCACAACAAGTCCACAGCCAGCCTGGCATCGGATATCTCCCTGCCTATTGCCACTGTGGAGCTTCAGCAAAGGCTTCGTCAGCTGCAGAAGTAAATGGCAGATATGATATATTACTTTTATTATTGTTTATTTTCCAGCTTTTCCAGCTTGGCTCATCTCAGGGTTTCTTATTGTTTTTCCATCAACTTCATTTAAATTCTGGCCTCCATCTAAATGTCATCGTGATTTTTGAATATTCATCTTTATAAATATTTTATCAGCCTACCTGTCAAACAATTAATCAGTCCCTGTATGCATGCACTTTGTAAATTCGACCGCAGCACCTGGACGTGACACTGACTGACTTTGGTGTGTTTATAGCGGCTCGGCCCCCAGCCAGTACCCCCTGGGTGAGATCCAGCTGACTGTTCGACACAGCTCCCAGAGGAATAAACTCATTGTGGTGGTGCACGCCTGCCGGTGAGCTCCAAACTACTACAATACACTGAATTTACACAAAGTGGTTCGAAGGACTTTTTGTTTTTGGGCTCTTTGTGCCATTAACTTGAGTTTGTGCAGATTCAGCTCATGGTATTCAAATCACTTTCTTTCCTGTGGAGCTGCTAACTGTAAAGATTTAACAAGCAACACGTGCCTGGCAACATGTGAGTGAAAACACCTTTGTCCTGTGTGTCCTCAGCAACTTGATAGCCTTCACCAAAGATGGCTCGGACCCCTTCATACGCCTCTATTTGCTGCCTGACAAGAGCCGGACGGGGAAGAGGAAGACAAGCACAATGAAGAGGACTCTTAATCCTGTTTACGATCAGACGTGGGTTTGCATCAGTACTTGCTGAGATTCCTTGCAGATTTGTAACGTAATGTGACTATTGAGGATCTGTTGTTTTGCTTCACCTGTGTCCGATTGTTATGAGCTCTGAGAATATTTCTGCCTTTAGCTGCAGTTGTGCCGCTGTACTAATTTGATAACTGGCTGTGTTTTGAGAGTCCTTCAAAGCTTTCCTTTTATTTCCAGTTTTAATGTTCAGTTATATTTTCAGGGTCCTTCTTGAATTCAGACCGACAGCAAGGGTGCAGTTGTGGAATATTTAATTTTTTCTAGCAACAGAGCTTTTTTATTACTGAAGAAAAGAGCTTGCACAGACGATATGACCCTGCTGAGCTGAGATTCGTATCACATGTGGCCGCTGTGGATCCATCACCTCGAGTTTCTGTTTGTTTTGGACACTTTTGTTTGCAGTTGAGCTTCAGTGCTCAGACTACATCTTTTAGCCTCAGGGATGAAAGCCGATCGCATCATTCAGCTCCTTCGTGAAGGCTGGAGTTAGCACGTCGGTGCTTTCCTAGTCCCGCTGGCTATTGATGCAGTTGTATTGATTATCAGCCATCTTGAGCCTGCAGGGGTTTTCAAAGTTTTGATGACTTAGTGCAAACTTAGAGAGGCAATATGCCCATGTCAGAAACACTTGATGCTGGTTTGCAGTTTAACTATTAGCGGGGGAGGCTGATGAAATTGTTAACAATAGCTGTGGAGGGGCTAGAACAGAAGACTTGAGGTCAAAGAGAAAGAGATTATGGACTCACACAAACACTTAAGCACCTGCTGGCACCATGTTGAAATCACAAATCACAAATACCAACTTAAACCAACCAATGTGGTTATCAAGCCAAACAAACCATGCAAGGCCTCAAGTTTACACTAGTGTATGCTGCTTTGTTGTGAATTCAAAGTCAAATAATTTTCTACAGTTTGCAAAAGCTAAGGCAAATTTCTTTGCCTTAGCTTTTGTTTAAAGGACCAGAACAATCCCCATATTTGTCATAGTCTGGCCACTAAGCCATGACAAAGACCCAGTTTCAACGCACTCAATCGCCTGTTTATCCATCCATCCGTTTTCTGCTACTCTGTTAGTCAAAGCAGTGATAACCAGGTCTCCCTCTCCAGGGCCTCCCTCTCCAGCTCTTCCAGATCTCTGCAGCATGTCCTGGATCTGCCCCATTGCCTCCACCCAGTAGGACAGTACACCTCATCCATGATGCATCCCAGTCCGATAGTTGAACTATCTCATCTACCTTCTTTTTGTGTGGAGGAGTGGCAGCTTTACTCTACCCCCTTACCTCAAATGAGCCAAAGGCTGAGCCAGACACCGGAGAAAGCTTGTATCTGTGATCTCTTTCTTTCAGTCATTACAGAAAAGCTTGTGACCATACGTGACTGAGTTAAGTCCTGTCCACATGTAAAACAATTCATTTGTCACACATCAGTTTGTTTGTTGACAGTTGGTCACTAGTGGACATCCCCGGCTCCAGTTTCCTTGGCATCCCTGTACTGTATTCACCACCTTGTCTTATATCAGTTGATAGTATCCTCTCATTGGTGGTTACTTTAATGGCTTGCCCCAAATTTGAGAAAAAGTTTAACTTGGGGCCCGTCCACTTTGCGCCGCCAGCTACAAAGTTCCTAAGTGTCTTTGTTTCTGTTCATCATATCGCTGTTAGTCCCCACTCTTTTTAGTCAGCACTGTCTGAATCTTTAGGCAGCCGTAGAAATTGCATGGTGCTAAGTGGATGGAGAACAAGGTAGAGCAAAGCCTGAGACAAGCAGCTCTTAAATGCATCCAGGCAGACCGGCTGGGTGGTCCCATTTACACTGATTCACTTCACCCACCAGGACCCTGCAAGAAAATGCAGAGGGACAAAAGGGATACGTAGAGAAGGCCCAGACAATGACCACGCACAATCTGGATTTTATGCTAAACATAAAAAGCGTATGCTTATGTTTGTGTGTGTGTGTTTGCAGGTTTGAGTTTAGTGTATCTATTGTGGAGCTCCACAGGAGAACTCTGGATGTTGCTGTGAAGAATGGAGGGAGCATCCTGTCCAAACACAAAGGGCTTCTGGGAAAGGTATCTCCTGCAGATTTTCCCTGTAGTGGCTTACGCACTGACGTTTTTATCGCTTTTCGAGCCATCAATGCAGGTGCTGATTCTAAACATTTCTTGTTCTTTTTCTTTAAAATTACAGGTTCTGGTGGATTTAAGTGGAGATGACATAGCAAAAGGAATCACACAGTGGTAAACTAGCATTTTATGTGTTTCCTGTACAACATTGAGTTGATTCTTGGGGGTAAAAAAAAAAGAAAGAAGCAAATTTCTGTCCTTAAATATCTAATTTCATCATTTTCTGTTGCAGGTATTATCTAAGTGAAGACGGTTTGTCGTCTCAAGCCACAAAAAGTATTCAAGACCCCGTCGTCACGTAGTGGCACCACCTCTCTTCTGTAACATAGTTATCTTGTTAACCTAAGGGCACATCCTTCTGTTGTATTCATATATAATTTCCATTTAGTTAACAGGAATAATTTCATCATGTTTAGTTTTATTTTTGTCAAAATTTCCTGTTAATCTTTCATGAGCCTGATTGGAAGATGTTGTAACATATTTTAATTTGTTCAAACACACTTACTGCCTTGTCTCTGTTTTCAGTGTTTTAATGTAAATATAGTTATAAGAATTTGCAGGGGTTTTCATGGCATTATACTTACCTTGGAGGAGTCGTGTTGAAATCTGTCACGATTCTTATGACTTTGTATCCGGTTTGTTAAAATGTGAAGAATTTTCATTTGTTGTCTGAGAAAACTAACCAAAGGAACTGATGCACACAAATATAGGCTTAAGTAGCAGTCCTGATTTGAGATTTTGATTTTCCTTTGGCACGCAGTGTTGATTGATCGCTTACCTCTCGTTATTAATGCTTGATTACAAACATGGAATGCCGATATGCAAAGAATAAAACGACTGCTGTGCTGTGTATATTTTAGGAGATTTGTGCAATGGTGGTTGATTCTGAATGAGACTTGGGGACATTTTAGGGCTATGAGCAAGCTCTGTGCATTATGCAAAGGATACTTGAATAAGGGTTTGACTGTTTTCAAACTAAATGTAAGTTGAAAAAACTGAAAAACATGAACAGGGACAACAGTTTTTGCATTTTATGAGCAGGGCTGCCAGAGTCTGTGTCAAGATGATGCATCCTAGTCATGCTTGTGTATGTTTTTGCCTTGCAGTTATGAGTTTCATGGGAGCTGTTAAATACATTTCTGGTTATCTATCCTGTGCCTTAAAAAAACCCACAGAAATATAATTTACTTGCCTTCTTATTGTTATTATTTTGGATGGCTTTTGATGAATACATGTTTTATCTTGTGAACGTTGGTGTGCTTTTTTTAATACCCCATTTTCATGTGCTTCTGTGATGTTCCCCAAATTTTGCAACTTTGTTGTGCTTAAAGTTGTGCTTAAATTTGGAATATGAAAATCAAACGGATGATGTCTTGTATTTTGGTCTCGTTTGAACAACAAGATATATTTGCTAAGTTTCAGGTTGGCTGAAGCTCAGGAGGTCGAGCAGGTCATATGGGAAGGTTAACAAGGACCAGTGACCTGTCGTTTTCTGCGTACCTAAAAGGCAATTAAGGGAATTTCCTAATTGTTTTTTTAAATCTTCGGTTGGCATTGACGTGATTTTTTTCGAGTTGTCCTTTTTCCGATTATTCTGAAATCACTTGAATGCATATTAAATCTCGCAAAGACTGAATAATAAACACTTTGAATTACGATATATTATGTGAAGCTTGGTGTGCGCCTTGCAAATAAATGTCTCTTGACTGGGGTCTAATCCATAATATGAATCATCCACAGAAAAAGTAATACGAAAACGCGATAATGTTACTCGTTTACGCTTTTTGAGACACAGAACATCTGTAGTTGTTTGCCGCCATCCAGTGGCAAAAGCGGGAATTGCAACTGTACGTCAGCGTCGAAACAAACGTGATGACGTGTGGAACCGACTTTATCCAAATTTGCGCGGGTTTACTGTTGTTATGGCTCGCTGTCATTTCACTGTTTCCTTTCACAAAATCCTTAATAAAAAGGTAACAGACGAAGGAAATGCTGCTTAATTCAGATGCGCATCATTGAGAGCCTTAATACCAGCCAACCCTGCGTCTGCAATTAGCACTTTTGACGGTAACAACAAACGGACTGCCATATTTGTTGTTGTGGAGTTGTTACAGCGAGACAAGCTAACGGTATAGTGGCTTCATAGCAGCATTACAGGAAAACTTACGGTTACCTCGGATCACTGTGGAAGCAGGAATCATGTCCAAGCGAGAGGCATTTTTAGAAGCAGCCTGTAAAGAAAATGTGGAGGACTTTCTTCGCTTTATTCAGCTTCACGTAAGTAGCTAACTCAATGCGAGTTAATCCTGAAACACCCAGAAGCTATTAGAAGTCTCCTGTTTAGCTTGTTTAACTGTGGGTGTGTGGCTGTGAGGTGTAAGTAGTACAGGAAAGTGTTCAAGTCAGGTCCTAAACATGAGATGCAAATAATATGGTTGCTGTGTTCACTATTAAAATGCTATTTAAAGTTAAAGATACGGAGTGTACTCATGGGGGGTTATTAAAAATTGGAGTCCAGTTATTTGACAATGCTGGTTTCGATCCCAACTTTGACAAACTTTTACTGTCTGTTGTAAAGTAAGCATTTTTCCCTCCTACATGTTTTTTTATTACTTACCAAAGAGATTTTGGCCTATAACCAAAGGAAAAGTCACCAAGACGATGATAAAAATCTTTCAGACTATTTTTTTAATAGGCTTTGATTTACTCAAGCATAAAATAAATCAGAAATATCAAGAAAATGCATGCACTCCTGTTCAATAAGCTAAGACAGGCTCATCGTGTTAAGTCCTGTTATTATTAGGTACACCTTGCTTTTGCCTTCAGAAATGCTTTAGTTATTTGTGGCAGAGATTTAAGAAGATGATGGAAATATTCCTCAGAGATTTTGCTCCATATTGACATGACAGCAATGCACAGTTGCTTTAGATTTGTCAGCAGCACATCCATGATCTCGATCTGGTGACTGTTTGGGACATTTGAGTGCAGTGAACTCACTGCCATGTTCAAGAAAGCAGTGTGAGATGATTTGAGCTTTGTGGCATTGCAAGCAGCCATCAGAAGATGGGGATGCTGTTTTCATAATTGGATGGAGGTGGTCATCAACACGACTCCAGTAGCTGTGACATTTAAACCATACTCAACTGAAGCTGATGGGTCAAAAGTGTGCCAAGAATATATCCTCCAGGCCATTACATCACCAGCAGCCTGAACCATCGATGCAAGGCAGGATGGATCAATGCTTTCATGTTTTTTATGCTAAATTCTGACCCTGCCATCTGAATGTCACAGCAGAAATCGGGACTCATCAGACCAGGCAAGGTTTTTCTGATCTTTTACTGTCCAATTTTGGTGAGCTTGTGCAGATTGTAGGCTCGGTTTCTTGTTTTCGGCTGAAAGGCCTGGCAGCTGGTGTGGTCTTTTCCTGCTGTAGCCCATCTGCTTACGGTATGACGTGTGGTGCATTCAGAGATGCTCTTCTGCATACCTTGGTTGTAATGAGTGGCTATTTTACTTGCTGTTGCCTTCCTATCAGCTTAAAGCAGTCTGACCATTCTCCCGTGACTTCTGGTGTCACCAAGGCATTTTCACCCAGAGAAATGCAGCTCACTGTAAAGCCTAGAGATGGCTGAGTGGTAAAATCTCAGCTGATCAGCAGTTTCTGAAATACTCAGACCAGCCCGTCTGGCACAGACAACAACGCCAGATTCAAAGTATTTTAAATCACCTTTATTCTACATGCTCATGCTACATTTGAACTTGAGTTGTGTGTCTACGTGTCTAAATGCACTGAGTTGCTGTCATGTAATTGGTTGCTTCACCCTCCAAAATCTTAGACTGAGCAGATGGAGACGAGCCTGGAAAAAGGTACAGGGAGGAAAACTCCCAAACTGCAGGATACAAAGTTGATGTTATGCAACGTTAATATATAAATATAATTTAAGCCCAACTTTAAAGCAGAGAGGCTCTGCCCTTCCTGAATCCAGCTGAATGCTCTGCAAATGTACTCTTTTATAGCCGTAGGAGGCCTGTACTCTGAAATAAAAGTGCTCAGTTTTACACTGTGAGGTCTTTAAAATGAGATGGAGCTCAGTGATTAAAGGGTTTTGAATGTGAGGAGGACAATTTTAAATTCTGCCTTTGGTTTAACAGGGAGTCAATGGAGAGAAGCCAAAATGAGAGAAACATGACCTTTCTTTCTACTTCCTGTCAGTATTCACACTGCAGCCGGAGCTGAGGCTTTTCTCAGAGTTATGTCACAGATGGATATTAAGCAATCACAGCACATAAGTCCACAAGTGTTACAGAGAGACAAGGCAAAACCACCCAGCATAATTTATTGATGATAAGCCTGTTTAACCCTCATGTATGGAGATTCCCCCCATGACCGTTCATAGACCAGCACATAGACAGGTCCCCCTACAACTCTGTCACCCATGCCCCATTAAAAGAAAGAAATGAAAATAAACGAAATGTTAAATTTGTCAAAACGGGCCAGGTTTGACCTGAACAGTATGTAAGAGTTAGCTGTGACAAATTCAGAATATTAATATCAGGGTAGTTTTAGCATCTGGTGGGGTAAAAAAGGAAGAAATTTGTCCTTTGTGTGGTTTGTCATTAAGGCAGACTTGAACTTTTAATTATATTTCAAATAAAAATAAATAAATGTGACCTAAACTAAGTCTGACTCAGCCTGGTGAGAAGTAAATTGTGGATTTTTATGGAGAAAAAATGGATGTGCTGAAAGGTGAAGTGAGAAAAAAATGCATGATCATTCTTTTCTCTCAAATATCTTTTTTTAATGTGGCGGTGACAATTCACATTGGAATTACAGACAAAAATCATTTCTTCAGTTATTATATTTTTATTAAATGTGCATAACACATGGCTGTCCAGTCAAAGCTGCGCCTGTCTGTCTATAAATCTGAGCAGAAGGACAAAGCCGAGCCCTTCGATGTGGAGGAGGTGTTGCAGGAGATGCCCAGAGAGCAGAGGGAGGCCCTGTGGAGAAGACTGGCATCTCTGCTTCAGGACGTCCTGCTGGAGTTTCCCACAGAGCGCTGGGAGGGCAGGAGGGAGGAGGAGGGCATGCAGGAGGAGCCCACTGCAGACTCTGTGAGTAAAAGGATCAGCTCACTGACCCCATGCTTAGTCTTTGTCAGTGATATTATTCGAATATTAAGGACTAGATGTGTGCAAAGCACTCCTATGTTGATTTTTGTAATATGACATTGCTTTTAAGCTTTTTCACATTTTGCTTAATTGTATTTTTTAACATCTGGTTCATTAACTTTTTTCCCAGAAACACGCTGTGGCTGTTGTGGACGGCGTGACGCTCGTCTCTACAGTGTCTCTGCAGGTTTTACAAGACGACCCCTATAGCCCCCTTCTGGAAGTTACCCGACGTCTTCACGGTGAGTGTTTGTGTTTTTTGCACATTTTTACAGCAAATGAGTTGCATATGATGCTCTTCCCATTCAGATAGATAGATGGATAGATATTTATACCTAACTTATAAA